TATAGACAAGATGCTAGTGAATACAAAGCATTACAATTGGGGACAGCTTGGTAGCAGGACTTGCTGAAAAGAAAAGTTGTCGGTCTTGACAGCTAACCACCTTCAGGGTGCCACTCTGGGTTTTTTGATTTTACTTCCATAGCCTTTTCTGTGTTTTGAACATGACTGCTAGACAGCAGAGGTTTAAAATCAGGGTTTCCCATCCTCTGGATGGACTGCTTTCCTGGACTGTTGAGCTTCCCACAGCATCTGGTTACGAGGCAACAGTTGGACTTAGTTGTTAGAGAAGCATTTTATAGACAGTGGCATCTTGTCCCCACTATCACCCCCAGCTATGACAACTTTTGGAATATATATAATGTATGTATAAAACATTATATTATTTATATAATGTTTATATATGTAATGTCTATCTGTATTGGTCATAAATGTGCCAATGTACCCATTCAACTCTATAGTTCAGTACTGAGTACACCTTTGCTTTGTGGCTTACATTGAAACACCTGTTCTCATACAATCACTAAAGTTAAGCCTTGTCAGTATCTTGATGGGTGACCCCTGGGACTACCAGATGCTGTAAACTTGGGTGTGCAGGTGGTTAATGGATAACTGGTCAGAATTGTTAATTGGAGAGCCGAGTTCCAGTTCCTGTTGAGTTTGTTATATTCACTTAGTTTTGTATCACTAGACCATTATCCCCCCCCAATTCTTACAATCTAAAGAAAAAATTTTCTGGCTTTAAATAACCTGTAATGGATTGATAAGCCATATAGAACAAATCAATCAATCGACCTTTACTTTGTTCTCCTGTGTGACTGTTGTCAGTTGAATCAAGCATTTGGGGGTTCAGATTTTTCCTCAGATTACAATAATAACCAGCTCTTGTTAATCCACACCACTTCTAGGGCATTAGCCTAGTGATTTAAACCATAGATTTGTGAATGTGGTGGCATAGTTTGTGCTACAGACAGACTTCTTCTTTGTACAGTGTCAGGATGTAGGCGATCATAGCTCTCCACGATTTCCTGTCCTTCGTAGCTCTTAATAAATGTTGTCTTTTTGTTATTTCTCCCAAACCCTATTCCACCCTCCATTTACTCAAACTCACTAAGTAGGTTATGTGTTGTTTTCCTCTGTTCATTTTGCCTTAAATCTGTCCCTGTGAATATCTGATTTTCCATGCCCTCTTTCCTTATGTGCCCTAGAAATTTCAACTGTCTCAGTAGAAACGGGTCAAACAATAACTGAGACCCGCTACAAAGAATAGAATGAGAAATCATTAGGTATAGACAGCAATACAAGAAAGGTCTAACTCTGTAGGTTAAACCATTGCCACACCACAGGCAACAATATTCACTGTAGAATTCTCTTCCTTTACTACTCTAGGCGCATTCTGTCTCCTGAGATGGTTGCTATAAGTAAACACTTGTCAACTGTTATTTCCATTATTTTAAGTTGGAAATTTCCTACTACTGCTTTGGAACAAGGTTAAACTTCCGTTTTCCAATGCCATTTGGAATTCTTCTAGACTCTACATGAGGTGTAACATTGATTAAACCCATGTTAATTTTTTTTTTGTAAACAAAAATGGCCATGCCAATATCCAACAAAGACTTTATTCAGGAGTTTTTCTTTGATTAGGACTCCAATGATGATATTGAAGGTGAAGTGGTCAGAGGTGACAATCATGACAGTGACTATTAGCGACTACTATCATCCATGCCTGAGTAATTTTATGGAAGCTACTGGCAACCATCGATATATCCGATAGCCCTTCTGAAGGTGAATTATTTTGTCTATTTATAAACGATGGAATACTAACTTTATTCGTCAACAAGACAAATGTGAGTCAGGTGAAAGAAAGTGCAGACAAATGCTAGTGTCTTCTCGTATGTAAACACTGGGAGACAGGTCACTTTTTTGACAAAATAAAAGCCTTTTTAGCAATTTTGCTTCTTATTGCACCCCCAGATCTCCGCAAGGAGTAATAAGTTAAAGTACATTGAGTTAGTTATATATTTTTTAATGTATTTATTTTTTATTTCGAGTTTCAATTTTTTTGTTTTTAACATCAAAACATGCATATAGTGCATTACATCAAAATATTACTCATTCATTTTATTAGTGTACAAAAACAAATCTATATGCACAATACAAAGAAAGTTATAACAAATTTTAAAGCAGTAGGTATTCATGTTTTTGTACCCTCAAAAAAACTGCAGTGTCGGCAGAGACAACTTTAGAAAGAAATTAGCATAGTAAAGGTTAAATAAAGTGTTCAGTTTGAAAAAGGTTTGAAGGAATAAGACAAACCATTGTAATAACAACAACAAAGATTAGTCTGAATGTAAATAATCTAAAAAATAATGAAATCTAATCTCTAACGTAAAAGAAAATCTGATTTTATATAACTATTGGTCATGTAACCTGATTGTCTGTATTTAGTCAATGAGCTCAATGCCAATAAGTGAATATCTCTTTAGTAAATAGGGAGTTCTTTCCTCACTAGGTGTCCCAGAAATTTCACCTTTTTTTCTGATTATAAATATAAGTTTCCTTATTGCTCCTAATTTTAAGCCTTCCTTGTTGCACATATGTTCTGTCCATGGTATTCTTAGCATTTGCTGCTAGAACCATATCTGTCACTTTAGGTCTCTTCATGCACTGCCTTATAGGAGATTAGATATTACATAGCAGTTCATAACTCTTTATTTCTAACAATATTTTCCTGTCCTAATACTTTGCTTGGTTTCTGAAATGCATCTTTCACTGTTTCTATGTGCCTTCATTTCTTTTGCTGATAACCATGCATATTACCTATTTTAACATTAATAGTTATTCTGTTCTTGCTTTCTTACGATCTTAGAGTTTTTTTTCACTTTTCCTTCTGAGTCTGTTGTTATCACAATGTCATCCACGGATCTTCAGATTTTATCCATTGATAATAAATCCTGGTAGGTCTTCTAGTTCATTTAGAATTGTCTTATTGTATAATATCTACTGCTACTAGTGTATATAAAAAAAAAAACAAGAAGCAAGGGAGATGAGATGAAAGAAATATGAATTAATAATGTGGGGTATTCATAAACTATTATATCTAATACTACTTGTGTGAAGGAAGCCAGAGCTGCCTAATCCCAATTTTCCATCTTTGACGGAGTTTAAAATCGTTTATGTGGCCTTTTGGATGATGACTCATTTTCTGCCCCACAAACCCTTTCCCACAGATGCAATGTTGCAAGCCTATCACTACTCTGTTGCTACTTCCATGGCAAATGTTCAGATGAGCGCTCCATTCTTTAGTGCCACCTTTTCAGCCAAGATCTGTTTTGCTACATCCACAGGATTGAATCACCCTCATTTCTTATATATTCCTTTGGTAAAAATGATGTTTCACTCAGAAAGCTTCTTCTCAAGAATTGTTACTTTGTGGAACAGACTCCCATGTGAATGCTTTACAATATTAACATTTTCAAGTCTAAGGTCAATCATTACGTACCTACAATATGCTTATAACCTTCACTTCAATTTATGTTCATATCACACATTTCATTCAGGAATACCTTACCTTGAGTGGCTCTTGGGCCTTGTATTGGGAGAACTTATTTTTCTAATTCTGCTGTCAACACAGTCATCCACATATCTTATTTTAAGATTTTAAGAAACACAAGTTAATAATCTAAAGTATGAGGGTGAGTCAAAAAGTAATGCAAGATCCTTTATTTAAGAAATAACGAGTACAGCCAAACGTATCATACGTGAAGATATAGCTATACATCACAGATTCACATCCCTACTTCTCAAAATAGTCACAACCTCTTTCAATGGCTGTGTTCCACCTACATCAGAGGGCATGTATCCCAGCTTTGTAAAACTGAGCTGGCTGCTGATGTAGCTAATTCCTTAAAGCAGTTTTCACTTCACTTCACCACCACCACCATAATGTTTGCTCTTCAGTGTCTCTTTTATTGGATCAAAGAGATAGAGCTATACATCACAGGTTCACGTCCCTACTTCTCAACATAGTCACTATGTCTTTCAATCGCAGTGTAGCACCGATCCCAGCTTCATAAAACTGAGCTAGTTGCTGATGTAGCCAATTCCTTACAGCAGTTTTCACTTCTTCACCACCACCATAACAGTTGCCCCTCTTTCATTGGACTAAAGAGATGGAAGTTTGAGTGTGCTAAGTCAGGTGGTGATGAAGATGTGAAAACTGCTATGATGATGCATTACTTTTTGACTCACCCTGGTATTTATAAACTTTTATATCTGATACTACTTGTGCAAAGGAAGCACGTATTTGTTTGAATAAACCAATTTAATCATGCAGCATCATTACAGTCTATAATTCTGTTTATTAGTCAGTTTATAATTCATCTAAAAGACTTCTTTTCATCATTAATAATTTAATGAATTTAAGTGCAGTACTAGATTGGCAGCAACTTCTCTACTTTTTGCAGTTAAAATGGCTAGATATAAGTGTAACCTCTTTGCTAACAGTGTCTTTTCTTGTGCTTCTCACATGTGGAACACTCTTCTGGCTTCTTGCTTTCCAGTCAAATTTTTGATGATCAATGTCAATTATCTTTTCTGTTTTTGATTCCTGTTCTTTTATTGTTCTCTCTCCTTAATAATGTTTTCTTTTTCTCATATTCTCTCACACTTGGTAATCCCTTGCATCTCAGTTGCTTTACTGACATTCTTGGAGTGAAATGATTTTAAAAATTGCCAATAATAAGTGGTTGTTTGTTATTGTCAGGGTGTCCTTATGATTTGATTTTGTTTTCAACAAAAAGGTTTATAACTGACTTGTCGGATATTCAGTTTGACAGATAAATACAACACCTGTAACAACATAGACCACCACAATAATGATTTGAATTATCTGAACATAGATTTCATGAACATGTTTTCAAAATTCCTTTTGTTTTTGTTTTCCTTGCTAGGTACATTTGAGATCCAATAGACTTGCTTCTAGCTCCTGACAAAAATCAATCATGTATGGAGTTTACAGACCCACACATACCCCAACGGGGATAGAGCATTGCATTTACTGCAATTTTTTCAACAACTTTGAAAAATCATTAGTCATTGCCGGAGTAAACCAGCTGAATGTTTTCCGTCTTACTCCTGAAGAGGTAAGTGAATTACATTTTTATTAATTCTATGTTGGGAACACCAGGTACTTTAACTAACTATAATTCACTTATGATCCTGAATATGTTTTGGCTTTAAATAACCCACAAAGGGGTTAAGATGTAAAAAAAAAAACAACAATCAATCAGTATTAACTGAGAGTAATGGTTTATTCCTTGTTTCCTGTTTAGGACTGGGTTCTGGCTAAAGTCTACTTCAAAGATATATTTCTAACGTCTCTGACTAAACTCTAAAATTTTTACTATGTATTTATTTATTTATTTTTTTTTTTTCCACAATAGGAATAGATATGTCCTCATTCCTCCCTGGACTTTTGAACAGGAGTAGAGGTTTATCCCTTGTTTCCTGTTCCTTCTAAATTCTACTTCTAATATCTTTGCCTAAATTCTGAAATTTATACTGGTTCTGTTTCTTTCTAAATCTTTTCCTTCTCTTGCAGTGGGGCTCCTTGTTTCTTAGTGTCTTTATCGGGTTGCTTGGGGGTGAATTCATCCTGATAGGTGGAAATTCAGTTTGGCTGTATTCTGCTCCATTACTTAATTGGCAGAGATATAAATTTTTTTTTTTTTTTTTTCACCTGCTATTTTCATGTATTTTTTTTTTCTCACTTAGATTTCTAAAGAGATTATATTCTATTTTTTATAGAGTATGGCCTTTGCAGACAAACCCCCAGAACGAATTGGCGGTAAGTATGTCTTCAGATTAGTTGCAGTCATCCTTCGTTTATATTTTGTACTAGCTTAAGAACTACTTTATTGGGTGGCATTTAAGCTAGCACCTGTGGAAGGCTCTTGATTGGGCCTTCATCACAATAGGTAGGAAGGAGTAGATGTGATAGGCAACAATAAACTATAGAATTGATCACTACAGTTAATATTGCAGTAATATTTAAGTTTACCTTCAATGATAATTTTTCTGTCGCCACTTAATTTAAACACAGTTTGATGTATGTAGGTCTTTACTTTCCATAGAAACAATTATTTTTATTTCATGGTCAATTTTTGCTGGATTTCGCAATTAATTTTGATTATTCCCAAGTTTATTTCCAAGTTATAAAAATTGTTGTCATACAAAAATTTTGTTGAAAAATTTGACATAAAAAAAATCACCAAAACTAATTGGAGTGATGAAAAGTTTGGAATTCAAAATTTCAGGATTGTGGGTCTGAATCCGACCTAGAATGTTTTTAATCTGCTCACAGAGATGGCCTGATACCGAAATGCTATGATATGTTGGCCTATGGTCTCTGGAAGTAAAGTTAAAAAGTGTGACACCATGACATTCGCATTTATTATATAGATATATTTTTGTGGTTTTAATTTTTAATTTTTGTTATTTACCATATTGCATACATGTCTGCTTTATGATTTGGTGGTAGTTAAAATTATTTAAAAAAAGAAAAATCTTGTTTTATATGAAAGTTTGAAATAAATAAAACTCTCCAAACCACATCATGCATAGCATTCTGGGTAGATATTTGTGAAGTTGGGTGTAAACCAGACTTATGGCAAACATTTATACACGCAGAAGCTGTGTATCATCAATGATATATTCAATTGTGAATGCAGAAAAACATATATCATATTTTTATTACTTCAAAGCTTCCAAGAAAATTAAATTTTGGCATTAAATGACTCATGAAGGAGTTGATATGTCGTTAAACAAACAAATCAATCAACCAACCCTATGCTTACCTTTTTGAGTTTTTTTATACTTGAAAAGTAGTGTTTTTAGCAAGTTTATGCAGCATATGTTGCGTTGCAGCTCAGATCAGACATCAAGTTGATTGTCAGGGTGCAGCTTCTTCCAGTCAAATGCTTGTGGCTTAAGAATTACCCTTTGACCAAATTGTTACCCATGAGTAAAAAAAACAAAACAATTCCTAGCAGTAACCCAGATTTTATTCTTTGATTGTAACCTACTACTTACTATAAACGAACAAAGTTAAGATGAGGTGTAGGAGAAGTGGAGGTGCACAGTCTAGCAGTTGTCTTCCCTGTTTGTTCTCTGAGGCCAGCTTCCTCCCTCTTTGTGCCTTTTTGTGAGATGGTCAGTCTCATGGTCAACAATTTTTTTTGTCTTTGATAACCATTGATCGAAAGTAAATGTTCTGTATCCATTTTTGCGATAAGTCCAGCTGATTTCAATTTAACAAGTTGTCTCATATTATTACACTTACACAAAGTTAGTAAAATTTGTTGTAAAGAGGACATGACTGCCTTTTTGACTTTAGAATAAGCTGGATCTGTGCTTACTAATTTATTCATTTTTTATTTTTCATTTTTTGTCCTGTAAATATTAAATTGATATTAAATAATCTATCAAGGGTTTATCGGATAACCAAGCCAATCAAATTTTAATTTCAGTTTTTTTTCTTTTAATTCCTGTGTTATCTTCTTCTGATGCCTATTTTAGCCTTTTTGTGTGACTTGAAATATTTCATGTCACAAAGCCTCTGTTTGACAGCCAAACTTGAAAGGCTTTCATTCTAAATCAATGCCACTCAATTGGTTGATTACCTTGTAGTAGTAGTAGTAGTGTTACATTAACGGATTTGAAACTCCACAATCAATCATTTTTTATTATTCTACACATTTTTTTGAATAAAGCTTTCTTTTTTTTTTTTTGTAACTTAACAAAAAATGTGTGCATTAATAAAAACACCTAATTTCGTAACCTGAGAGAACTTAGCCTTTGTTGCACTGAGTATAAACACAATTCTTGTCAGAATCATGTTGTCATCAGTGTTGTTTTGACTTTGAAGGCATGCTGTAAATCAGTGTGATTTCTCATCTTTGGCATGGCTGCTCATTTCCGACCATGCCCATCTGTGCAGGCCTGTTTACATTTTTTCAACACATACAGATGCAAACTGTGGTTTATACTGCAACTATGCTGGGTGCCCCACCCCAGGGTCGCATACAATTTTAAATTCAGCTGTCTTTCTCCTATATTGGATTCCAACCGTGGCTAGAGATTCCAGTTTGTTCTACTTATTTAACCCACAGCTATCATCATGCTTGGTTTTAATGTCCTGTCTGAAATAAATCCTTTTCCAGAGATCCGAAAGAAGTTAAAGCTAGAATGCATGTCCACGTTCAGTCTGTTCGGGAATATCATGTCTGTAAAGTCGGTCAAATTGGTTGGAGCTCAGCGAGATGCTTTACTCCTCAGTTTTATGGATGCAAAGGTAAGATAAAATGTCAGCCATGTTACTTTTTTTTTTTTTTTTTTTTTTTTTTTTGCATTTCGAAAAAAAAAAATCACAAACTCTTTGTTAATAAATGCTGTTTGGAACTGATGAATATCATGTTATTTGGGAATTCATTTTAAGTTATTGTCCTTCATGTGTTGCTGTGATCCAGGGGCCTGTCATCTGTGTAGGTAAGCTATTTGACATCTACCCCGACTAAAGTTAATCTACTCTTTCATGATACTATGGACATCTGCATAGAAAAGAAAGATATGGTTTTATGTTGATCTCAAGCAATTCTGTTTTACAGCCAGCAGGTGGTTCCTTTTGAAGACTAGTTTTCTAAGTGGCATCCACTTTGGCTCCAGGGGATTAGGGAAGTAAAGGAGTGAATGACTGGATTTTGGAGATCAAGTGACAACAAAACCGGAAATAGTGTATCCAGGTGCTGGACTATATTAAGTTGTGCTTAGGATTGGAAAGTCAGTTTTGGTCCACCCTTTGTGAGAGACGGAATTTGCCCAACAGGTGGTTCTAATGTCATCCATTTGTATTGCCACCTACACATCGGGATCTGTAGATGGGCAAGGAGCTGTTAGGGAGGTTGAAGAACTGAGCTTAGACCATCATAGCAGAAGTTGTCCCAAGTATCATCTACCTATCCACCCAGACAAATAAGTGAAGCCCTGAATAAAAAGACCTATTTTATAATACGAGAGACCAGGTTCATGTTATTACTCAGTGTAGTGTTTGTCTTTCATCTGGTTACTTTGTGAGCATGCAGCGGACACTTGCCCAACTTTCGGTGCCCACCAATGAGATTGAGAATTGAATAATCAATAGCTGGTTGTGGAAAAGCTTGGGTAAGTGCTGCAGTGTGTGTTTGCACTGTAACAAAGATTATTTGTCTCTGTATATGTGTGTTCTGCTAAAACTCCCAGACTACAAGAATTAGACCCTTAAAACTATATATATATATATATATATATATATATATATATATATATATATATATATATGTGTGTGTGTGTGTTGATTCAGCTTGTCCCATGTAAGGTTTTGAGAAACAATTTATTTCTGTACTCTTTGTAAAAACAAAGTGTTGCAGAGTAGGACTCAGCATACTTCCTGTACTACTGTGACAATGGAGTGCTCCTATGTATAAGTATGACAAGTAGCCACATTAAAGTAGGATTTGAGGAGTAGTTGATTTACTCAAGTTTTTCTGTACTATGTATGAGTATTTAATAAACTTCTTTGTTTTTCATAGCTCATTTTTTCTTTCTTCAATAAACCTCTTTGTTTTTCATAGCTCATTTTTTCTTTCTTCAATACCCTAATTATGGCTTTCCTAATTCTTGGCTATTTTGAACAAAGATGACATTACAGCAAAAGGTATGAAAACATACGTAATAGCATTAGAAAACAGCAAAATATATATTTCCAATTTAAACTCACTTGACATTTATACTTAGCATCAGGAAGACACATTTGAAATTTGTAAGGTATATAATGAGGAAAGCAGGCTTGGAAAATTTGATATTCACATGACAGATTGAAGACAAAAGGGATAAAGGAAAACAATGCATAACCTACTTAACAAGCTTGGGTAAATGGATGGCAGAGCTAGGTTTAGAAGAGATAACAAAATGACAAAATTTATTAAGAGCTACAAAGGACAAGAAATTGTGGAGAGCCATGATCTCCTACTTTCTGAAGAGATACGGCACATAGAAGTCATTCAATTCCAGTTTAATTAAAAAAGAGGCAAAGTTAGAATGTATTGTAGAACATTCTATACTTTTTGTTTAAGAAATTTTAAAGCAATATTAATAAATTATTTATTTTATATAAAGCCACAAATATGAAAAAGCTAAACATTAACAAAGTTTCTATTTATTTATATACTAAAAACCCACGCCATTCAATAGTTTGAAAAATAGTATCAAAAAATTAAAAGAATATTGTTTATACTATTTACATTGCTTGGACTATCATCCTCATCTTTGTTGCCATATTTATCACATTTCGGCCGTTGTACGCTCTGGCCATCTTGGTGGTTGGAATGTCGAACTGAACCCTTTATTTCGCTTGCTGGGGTAGACTGTTCTAGTTCCACGTGCCCTGTCTAATGGATGTCAGTTATCTCCTGTTAATTCCCCTCGCCAAGTTCTCCACTGCCTTAACCAGGTATTGAACTTTCTTTGGATCCTGTCACTGGATCTAACTAACGCCTTTATCCACTGTGCCATGTGTCCTTGAGGACATCTGTGTATGAATTTTTGGTATTATTAACCTAATGTCTTCAGCAACCATTTTTTTTACCAGAGCTCATATTGCAATTTTCATTGTTATTGCTTTTTCTGTGGCAATCCTTATTATTATGTAAATATACATAATACCTCATCTCAGAAATATAGACAAATATTGTTTATTGATGATATGTGTGCAATTTAAGTAAATTGGAAATCATGGATAAATGTGCTTGCAATAAGACAATGTCAAAAGGAAGTTTTTTTCCATGACATGCTTTTTTAACTACCTCCACTCTTCGGCAACGTTTACTGCTTTAAAAAGCGATGATTAGTATTGGAATAAAATGAAATTTAATATGAAACTGAATTTATACATTTTCATTGTTCTCGAGAATTGACAACAAAAATAATAAATACAATTTATTTATTAGGTTGTTTATTTACACTATTTGTTTATTGGAATGGTTGGCAAAACATCAGCTAATTGCCAATCGATTCGAACTTTATAAAATGGTAAATAATAAGGATTTCCTTATAGTTGATTCACATATTTTAATGATTTAGTAAATGTTTATAAATTTATGAATAAAATATTGTTTCTTTATAAATTGGTAAAGGATAAATATTGTATTACATTAGTTTTTAAAATGTTGTAAATATAAAATTATTCTTGTGAATAAATCTAATAAATAAATAGTGTTTAATATTTTTCTTGTAAATTCTCAAGAACAAAAAATGTATAAATTCATTTTCAACATGTTTAGGTTTTATTCCAATTCTAATCATCACTTTTTAAAACAATAGATATAGCCAAGGAGTGAAGGTAGTTAAAAAAAAGAAAAGCAGCATTATGGGGGAAAAACATCTCTTGTTGCAAGCACATTTATCCATGTTTACCAGTAAATTGTAGCAAAATATTAATAGGAATATTGTTCATGAATTTGCATTGTAAGAGCTACTTTGATATAATATTTGGGCAATGTCAAGTAGTCTTGCTAGTTAAATATAAAACAAGATTCTGAATTTATTGTCCATTTGTAACATAATGCACTAAATTCAATGTATAATTCAGTATTTTGTTATTAGATTCATTTTAGCCATAATTCTCTTGCACCTTTTAAGCTCACTAGATATGTCAGTGTCTAGACTATATGCTATGGACACTGCTCCAAGCCACATTTGACAATGAACATTTGATAAAGGCAGCATTCTTCATTCTTTGTGGCTTTTCTTCTATAAAAACTTTGCTGGACATTTTTATAATCTTTGTAAAATATTTCTATTGTATTCATACATATTTTTATGTTGTTTTCTAAAATATTTCTATTTTATATATTTCATAATGTTTTCTAAAATATTTCACTATCTAATCAACATGTCTTAACATGTTAAGGCTTTTCTTGACAATTTTCTAACAGTTAACCAACTGTCTACTCTTGAGTGATTTATCTTAGCATTTGCTTTCTATAGCTTCAGGTTAAATTTTGATATCCAAATCCATTCCTTTTTGTAAGGATTTAATTTGTCTCCATTTTGATGGTTGGTTTAAGTTTGTGTATTTGAATTATTTTTATTTATTTTATTTTATTTTTTTTGTAGCTTTCCCTTGTGGAATATGATCCGGGGACACATGATTTGAAAACTTTGTCTCTACATTATTTTGAAGAGCCAGAGTTGAGGGTAAGGTTACTGAGTTCTTGAAGAATGCTTTCAATACCTTTTAGTATCAACATTATTTCTTTCTTTTTTTGTTTTGTTTACTAAGTGAAGTAATGAAATGAAAACATTAATTGTTCTTTGGTGCTGGAGAGAAAAACAAATTAAAGTACATAAGAAATAAAAAGTAAACAAAAAATAATTTATCTAAAAAGGAAAAAAAGTTTTTAGATTTCAAAACTAGTTTACCCATTCTGTAAAAAAAAAAAAACAATGTATTTTAAGTCCTTGCTATTATTAGTTTTTTGTATGTGTGTTTTATATATATATATATATATATATATATATATATATATATATATATTTATTTAAATGTAGGTTTATGTGCTTGTCCATAAACTAGCCACCACACTAACCAAACTATGAGGAAGGAGCTAATTGTACCAAGAGGTGGAGTTAAAATTTTGGTTAGTGTGCCAGCTAGTACATGGACAAACACATTTATCAACAAAAAAGGCAGCATCTCCTTGATAATATCTATGAAAAAATAAATGAACACAAGGTCATGAGACACATACACATATAATGAAATATCTTATATGGCTCTGTACATAAGGTACAAATTGTGCAAACATTCACTATTTGTCATATCACCAGAACATAAAATTTTCTTTTGTTTGCACAAGGAAATGCTGCCATTATGTTGGCTAATAACACATTATCATAAGAAATGCTTTATATTTCTGCATTACCAAACTGACGACTAACCAAGATGTGCTGTCTCATTGGTGTCATGAAAATGACGAGGAACCAAAGTGTGCTATCTTGGTGTCGCCAGACTGATGATTAGTCAAGTTTGATTATCTTGTACAGCTTAAGTTTAAATTGGTAAATGATAAATTGACATAATTCTTTCTCCTCTTGAATTTATGAAGCCTATTAAAATAGTCTGTTAGTGTTCTATTCCATCATAGTAACCTTTCTTGTTATTCTTTTTTAGTGTGGATTTGTGGAAAACCGACACATTCCTTATGTGCGTGTGGATCCAGATGGCCGTTGTGCAGCTATGCTGATCTATGGCCGTCATCTGACTATTCTTCCCTTCCGTCATGATGTGAGTTTAGAAGAAGGAGATGCTGGACTTGGCTGGTATGTAACGGCTTCAGTTTTACAGGTTTTTTATGTGAAAAATAACAGGAGTTTTGAGGAGTCATGCAGACATGCCCATACATACGCATGTATATGCATGTACATAGTAATGGACGGCAACTTGTCTTCCAAGCACAACTGTCCGCTTTGGTAGCTAGCCGATCCCTGTTGCAGAAATAGTTTTGTGTCTGTGGCGCTTTCCAAGAATGAGCTCTTTTTATTTTCAATGCAAAATAAAAGGCTCATAAAATATTCCAATTAGAAAAACAAGCCTTCTTGACAAACCCAATGAATCAAAAAAATATATTGTCCTACTAACTCTATCACATTTACAACTGGAAAGAATCTATTTAAACTTGACATAAAATTTGTTACTACTACATCTAAAACAATAAGAGATTTTGTCAATACTAAGCAAAACAAGCTAAAATTTGAAGATGGAATTTACTCAATCAACTGTAATAACTGTCACAAAAACTACATAGAAACCTCAATGAATCTAAATAAAAGAGTATATGAACACAAAAGAGACATTTTACAAAACAATACATCAAATTTGTCCACTGTAATGAGACTGACTACTACTTTCACATCAAAAGCTACTCTGATCAAAGGAGAAAATAATTCACTATGATGAAAATATCAATTGAGTGCTTTGATTGTAAGTTCATCCAAAGTAAATTTGTGCCAGGCCTCCACAGCATCATACTTTCTCTCCCATGGGCCTAGTCAAGACCAATCATTTCTCGATTAGAATTCTGGCATAGCTTCTGCTTAATTGCAAGAATTGTAACAATATTTGTGTCTGTCCAAATACAATTCTTTTATTTATTCCGATGTATAAATTCTGACCAATTAGGATTTGTTGTTAGTATAGAAAATTTAGTGTTTATAGTGTTACAAATTTGCAATGTATAAAGATATAAACCCCAGGTTCAAAGAAAATGGAAAGGAAAGATGGATTTGCTTGGATAGAAACACATGAACAGGTGTCAATGAAACAACAAACACAAGGTTAACATTTGTAAATAAATTTTATGTAACAAAATATAAAAGATGTGAAAAGTGTGAAGTGACAGACGTACATTTAATAAAAGATCACTCATGTGATTTCATGAATTTAGAGTTCAAATATTCATAATGCCAAACAGACAAGTTGCTGTAGAAAGTCCACACAAATGTCCGTTGTTCTTCCACAATATAGGATTCTGGAGTAATGTTTGTGTTCTGTTTCCCCTTGGTTACTTCAATTGCATCTAAGATGAAAGTAAGCCGATTTCTTTGGGTACGTTATTCCTTTATCCTTTACCCATTAATTAGTCAAATACATCCATAATATCTTGGATGAAATTACCTTATTCCTTACACAATAAGTGATGGAATAGGTTTATGGGTGTATTTCTCATCCCTCACTAATGCATGATGAGTCTATTTTTCTCACTAACTGTTGTCATTGGAGGTCGCTGGGAAACTAAAGTTACAATACCAAAATCCCATTTGGTGATATATATCATGTGAGCTTAAGTGACCGATTTTTACTCACTTTCTTAGGTGGTCTTTCTGTTGTTAAGCGACCCCAAATTCCTTTCTTAGCTGAAACATGACTCAGCCCAGGCAGGTAGTAAAACCAAAAAAGAGAGAAAGAGAAGAAACACAATGACAGTGTGTCTCTTGTTAAATTGATTATACATCTTGATTTAACAGTTAACATTAAGGCCATGTAACAATAGATATATATATTCCACAATAATATCATATTCTTGTCTGACCTTGAGGAGTGATTGCCAAAATTCTTCTCGCCTTGATATGCATTAATTATTATTTCATACATAGCTGTGTTTTTTTTTTGTTGTGGCAGAAGCAGGATTAATCTTACACAAAGCAAGACTGTCAGAGGATTTGTCATAATGATTTGAGGCAAGATTTTACAAGGCCAGATGCTCTTCCTGACATATAACTCAAACAGTCATGGCAGTCCAAATGCATCAAGTGCTATTATTGAAACACCATTTCCATGAAGGTTGCCATTCAAGACATTGTAGCTACATGTGTGTGTATATATATATATATATATATATATATATATATATATATATATATATAGTTAATACAAGTAAAAGATTTGTCACTTAGCCTGTTGATGTTACCTTCAGCATCCTGACTCCAGAGTTTCATAGATGGACCCTCTGGGAATCACTCTGTCCATTGGTCACGTGGTATCAGCAATTGACTGCTTATACTTCTTGATTTTTCTATTTCATATGCACTATTCATTGGAGCAAGTTGTTTTTTTTTTTTTTTTTTTCTTTCTTTTAACTAGACTATATTACAGTTTTCTAGACATATACTCCCGTTGTTAATTCGGGTTTGGTATGTTTCAGTGTAGCCCATTTGGTGTCACTGATTTGGCATGTGAAAAATACTTGGTCTATTCGGCATCATCCATGTGACAATTTGTACTGGGTTACATGTTACCAGTAGCAGGTTGCAAGCTTAAGCATGATTTGACCTGAATTTTAGCTATTTTATTATAATTGGGCACTATTGCAGTATCACCAGCACTTACTGTGTGCTACCTTTTTATTTATATATGTATATATATATATATATATATATATATATAAATAAAATTTGTCACTTAGCTGATTGGTGTTATATTCACCACTGATAAAGGTTTTCCTCCCACTCAGTCAGTCTTTTCATTTTCCTAAAGTTTTCTTACATTCTCTCTTTCCACTTTTGTATTGTCTTTTCTTCTTTGACATTTCTGGATTCTTGGTCAAAAAGTTTAAATGATTTCAATTGGGAAGCATTAGGTATTGAGCAGATACTACACTCTGATCCTTGGTAGAAATGCATAACGGTTGTACATACAAACAAATGGAATAAGAGTGTAGATGTTTTTCTTTGTTTATTTCATATTTTTCATGTCAACCAAAAATAATCTAAATAAAAATCTTTCTATTTTGCAGCAAACCACCGATTCTTTCTTCCTACCTGATTGACTTACGTGTCATGGATGAAAAAATAACAAATGTTTTGGACATTCAATTTCTACATGGATATTATGAACCAACAATATTCATTCTGTATGAACCTCTCCAGACATGGTCAGGGTGAGTTGTCTCTCTCTTTCTCTCCCTATCTAATTCTCTCTATCTAAATAAAATCTGTCCTATCCACAACAAAGAACAATGGATAAAAAATAATTCAGGTGACCAATTTGGCATTGCAATGGGATCATTAAACTCTGTTGAGCCTTTCGATCTCATTGGTTTGTTCATTTTATATAACCTTACTGCCCACCGTGATGTCAACGTAGAGGATATAGGGTTATATAGGGATGATGGCCTTATGGTGGTAAAAAATTGTGCAAATTTCAAAACTGACATAATCAGAAAATTAATCCATAGGGAGTTCAAAAATCTAAACCTGAAAGTTAAAAACAATACAAATTTTAAAAATTAAACTTCCTGGATGTTACACTAGACTTAGTCAATAATATATACCAACCATACATGAAAACTAAAGCAAATCCATTATATATCCACCCCAAATTACCCTCCATCTATAATCAAGCACATACCCTCCTCCATAGAATTAGTAATAACTCTTCCAATGAAGTTCTATTTTATAAACATAGCAAGTTTTATAACAATGCCTTAAAAAATAGTGGCTATAAATGCCCTGACATCAAATACAGAAAACATAATAGTGATAGCCGGAAAAAAAAAATAGAAATAGAAAAATCATTTGGTACACACCCCCATTTATTTTAACTGGTTTGCACTAAGTTAGGGCAGAAGTTTTTCAATTTAATTGAAAAACATTTTCCCTGTAATAATCCTCTAACCAAGATTTTTAATAAAAATAGACTTACATTACAGTTGTACAGATACTCTGGAAAAAATTATTAAAAAACATTATAATAAAATTTTAAATCAACACTTAAACCAAAGTAACTATTGTCATTCCAAAACAGAAAACAATAATGATAAAAAATTGTGTATTTGTAGAAATGCTAATGAATATCCATTAAAGAATAGGTGTCTTATTGATTCTATTGTTTACCAATGTACCATTTCATCTAATGAAAATCCAACAGTTAAGAAATTTTATATTGGCAGTACAAAAAATTCCTTTATACTGAGGTGGTATCAACACACATCTTTCAACAACAATGCCTGCTGTAATTGGACATCCCTTTCTAAATATTTTTGGCATTTAAAAGAAATTAATAAAACTCCTATGGTAAAATGGAAAACATAAAAAAATCGAGAATCTGCAAATCCTTATATGATCCATATCTCCTGTGTTTACAAGAAAAACTGCATATTATAAAGTTTCATAAAAATAAGGTTCTGCTAAATCAAAGAAATGAATTAACAGTATTATGCAGGCATTGTATAAATTTCACATTAAAATATAGTTAAAAGATATTTTATGCATTAGAATTACATAGGCACTATTTTATAAGTATATAATGATCCACACAATTTTTATTTGATTATTCAACTTTAATATTGTCTATTTTAGTGCCCATTCAATATAATTAGCATAACATTAAAGTTCAATAAAAAAAATCTTTTAATTTTACATACTTGGTACTTTTAAGAAGGTTCTGTAGTATAAAAAGAAATTTTGAGAATTTCTTAATAATTTTTTGTTCAAGGTTTCTCTATGCCCACTTAATCTGAACTTTGTATTTGGCTACAATATGTTCGCTGCTGATGTGTCACTTTATCAAGACATGATTTAATAACCCACCTCTCTCCACCCACTAACCTCATTTATTCAGTTTTCTATTATAGCTTAAATCTGACTTTTAATTGGTTAATCCAGACATGTCTACAAGTATATTTGTTAATTCTGACATTAGGTCCCCCCACACTTTTTAACCAAAGTAGTAATGACTTGTTTTCAAATTTCGCAAATAAATCATTTTCATTATGTTATCTACCATCGAAACGATTTAGTTCCGAAACATGAAAGTTTTTGCGTAGAGATGTAAAATGTTTTTATTGTAATCTGTTATAATAAAAACATTTTAATTTTATATATATATATATATATATATATATATATTTCGATAAGGAGTTGATATGCTGCTAAACAAACAAACAAATGACTGCAGTAAATGTGGTGGCCCTACAACTCCAATGGGTTACTAGATTTTTATTAAAAAACACCCCTACCTTCACCAATAACCTAATAATGTACTGATCTTTTACCAAAAGGAATTTCTGTGCATAAATATAAGACTATGAATTTGACTCTCTTTTATTCTCTGGCGAATTCAATCATTTCAACCCAAGCAAGGCAGGAGTGCCAAAGAGCGTGAAGCTGAGAGAAAAGACTGCGTATGGAGGGGGTTCAAGGAAAGGATAAAAGCTGAATGGGGTTCAAGAAGACAGAAGATGGCAATTGACATTGGATGTACATTTTTGAAGAGTGAAGTTATCAGGGAAGCAAGGAAATGGAAGGGAGTTTCACAGGCAGGAAGTGTGAGAAAAGAAACTGTTGGAGTAAAAGTGACGATGACATTTACCTAATTAAAAAGTAATAAGGTGGAACTTAGATGCCCACCTGGTAGCATGCTTAAATTCATGTAGTCTTGTCATCAGTGGGGGGAGCTCATCAGAGCAGTAGCCATGGAAATACTTGTAGAAAAGACAGAGGGAAGTCATGTCACAATGGCGACAAAGTGACTGAAGTCAAGATGCCAAGTCAGGATTGATTACATTGCAGATCCTTTTTTTGATTTTGTCAAGAACCTCAAGATGAGTAGCAGGAACACTGGACCAGATGTGGCAACTGTATTCAATGCATGTACGAATGGTAGATTTGTAAATGTGCAAGATGGAATCTGATGAGAAAAACCTTCTGGCATGACACAGTGACCCAACTTTCCTTGCAGTAGATGCAGCTATTGATTTGATGTAGTCATTCTGCTTCAAGTCAGTTGATAACATGAGACCAAGAAGGCACAGTGTGTTGCTCTCCCTGAGTCAAGCTTCAGCCATGCTGATGACTGGCAGGAAGGTTTCTCTATGGTTCTTAAATGAGAGCAGTTTAATTTTGGGAGCATTGAAATTTACAAGCTATTTCCTGCCCCAGCTAAACACTGATTGGAGGTTCTTTCCAAGAGTGGCAGCCAGGTTAGCTTTGTCAAGTTTGACATATTTGCTATAAAGACAGGAGTAAATGGTAGTGTCATCAGCATAAATGCCTATTTGTGAACTGATGACATCAGGAAGATCATTAATGAAGATCAGAAACACTGTAAGACTCAAGATAGAGCCTTGCATGAAACCCGTGTTCATGTGAAAGGAACTGGAAGTGAGTCTGTTCAAAATGATCTTTCATGATTTGATAGGAACAATTAGATTAAATCAAACACATATCCTCTAATACTGTAGCCCTGGAGCTTACGCTGAAGACCAGCATGCCAAATCATATCAAACACACTCAAGATATCTACAGCCACAGTTTTTGTGAAGTGTGAATTATTTTGATTTGTTCCCATTGTATCATGTATTAACCTTGCCATTTTTAGATTTTTTTTTTTTTTTTTTGAGAGAGAGAATTGAAAACATACTTTTAAAGATATTTATACTCCAAATCCAATATATGCTAAATCTTAACTTGTTTCTCTAATTACATATTTTGTTGCAGACGTACAGCTGTGAGGACAGACACATGCAGCATTGTGGCTATATCCTTAAACATCCAGCAGAAGGTCCATCCTGTCATATGGTCTCTCACCAATTTACCCTTTGATTGTTTTACTGCCCTACCTATACCTAAACCAATTGGTGAGTCAAAAGTTTTGCCAAATTTTACTATATATCTAAATGCACCTAATGTATACATTCTTTTGAGATAGTGTATGTACACACACACACACATAATATATAAAACAAGGTAAAATGTCCATATAAACATATGTTCAAAAGGCCATTGTTGTAGCTCAACACAGCAACTCATAACATGTTAAAAATGTCCTCTGCTTGCTTCTACATGCACATGTACCTGTCAGATCAGTGACTAGTGGACTCTTTTAAATACTCCCACAAGTTGTTTAATGATTTTGCAGGTCCCCATGACACGTTGAAGTGTCTCTGCATTATTAATGTCTGTTGCATAGACCAATTGATTTAGTTAGCCCCACAGATATAAACCTAAAGGATTGAGGCTGGTGGGGAATGTGCTGGGCATAGAACTGGTCCTCCCTTACCTATCCATCTTTCATGTCAGATGTCAGTCAGTGCACTGTGAACACTATGACTAAAATGTACTGGAGCCCCATCATGCATGAACCACTTGCGTCTTTGTATTAGCAAAGGTACATCCTCTAGCAGGTCTGGAAACATAGTCAGAAATAAAGTCCCTGTAGACAGCTCCTGTAAGATGTGCTGGTAGAACATATGGACCTACCTTGCAGTCGCTTACAATTCCAGCCCACACATTAATTGCAAACTGATGCTGGCGTCTATTGTCTAGTACCGTGGGGGGTTCTGATCCACCTATAAATGTCTGTCGTGTAAATTTGTTATTCCATCTCTTCCAAATGTTGCCTCATCTGTAAACATGACTGAAGAGAAAAATAATAGATCGGCAGTTTGTACAATATACCATTGGCAGAAGTTTTCTCATGGTAAATGATCAGAGGGTGAAAGACCCTACACACATTGCAAATGATATGGGTACAAGAGCTGCTCTTGAAAGACCGTCCATGAGGTGCTGTCAGATGTACGACATACTAGGATCACTTGGCATTTGCTGATACCTGTCTCCAACAGCCTGTAGAATGTGTTCTTTGTGCTCAGGTGTATGAGCAAATATCGACCTTCCTTGATCCATAGTTTGTAGTGCCATGGATCCTGTCTTAGCAATATAATAAGCAGCAGCAAAGGTTCGATAACTTGGCTGCCTTCAGTCTGGGAACATGATTTGATACAGCTGGGCAGCCTCGTGTGGCCATAGGTAAGAATCACATCTGTCTGCTCACTACTCATATGAATATCTTGCCATTGTTAAACAGAACACTTCTCAGTTAACTCACTACTACACGCATTAAACTTTGAAGACAGACTAGCCAGAAATGTACACGAATAACAAATGTAATCTAGTCTAGATAGCAACACAGCGCCATCTACTGTAAACTTTAAACTTAGCACAAAAATGAATGATTTGCAGACAAATGTTTATTTGAACTTTTTGTCCTTTTTTTTTTTTTTTTTTTTTTTGGTGTGATGAACTGGCCCCCAATGTTTGTAAAAGTGTTTTTGATACACACACAGTGTATAAATGTTCTTTAAATTTAATAACTCAAAAGCGAAAGATTTGTGGATATATGTTTGTACGGACTTTTGTCCTTGTTTTGCTGTGAGGACCCCCCCCCGCCAAAGTTTCTACAAGTATTTTTGATACACCCTCTGTGTGTGTGTCTATCCACTAAAGACCAAAAGTTTGGGGCCACCCTCTGTGTTTAATAATGCATAAGTTTCCTACCTTTTTTGGTTTACTTAACTTCTACTAAGCTAGGAATACTGAAACTATTTAAACAATTAGTGCATGGTGTCCAATTTTTTAGAGAAAGGGTTACATAAAATTTAACATGTGCCAACCCTAAGTTTGCCATTAGCCAGCAAGGTAGGTTAGAGCTAAAATTTTAAGGTAACTTTATACAGTTATGGGTTATTTTTTTTATTTTTATTAAATATATCATAAAATATTTCAAGAAGCATAAGTCCCACTGGCCAGAAGTGAGCCAATAAATTAGTTTTTAAAAAAAGGACACAACTATCAATTTTTAAGCAATTCTTTGACATCCATAGGGTGGCTTATGTGTGTGTACGTACGTATGTACAGTTTTATGATATGCTATATTTATGGGTTAAAGTGCTCAATATCAGGGATAGTGTCTGTAAATATAAAAGTGGATGTTTAGGTCAACACCCAATGGTGATAGTCTGTTTCAGGATTTAGGTCTGAAGAATGCATTTAAGCATGAAACAGTCTGTCACCACTGGGTGATGACCTTAGTGTTCACTTTATATATGACACACACATTTTTGGGGTTTCTTCAACATCCACAGAACCAACCTGTGGTTTCTACTGTGCAGACCATAGTTAGACTTTCTTGGAGAAACGGCACCAGAACAAGGTATACTCAAACTCTCTGTCACAATGACTTGTGACTTTGTGTTAATACATTACCAATGGCTTTCAAACAGTTTTCACACAATTTCCTTCAAATGGCTCGGATCCCCCTCTGGTATAGTTTTCAGACACTTCCTGATGGTCTCAGACGTTTGGATCATTTCCCCCTCACCGATATCAAGAAGTTGTCACTTTGACAAATTGACCATGGTGGGGTTTGAACTTGGGTCTCATGGTTGGAATGCTAATGCTCTAACCATTCAGTCACCCACCCATTTATATGAAAAAATTGGAGGTATCTAGATATAAAGAAAGATAACTTATTTATTCTTTGTATCGGCCAAGATAGACCCTTTATTTTTAAAACCTGAAACTATACTGAGGCAAACAAAAAGAGGTACTGCAATTATAAGCTTGGCTGTATCTTTGTACCCCTCTATAGGAATTTAATGTCTTTTCTCTTCTGGTCTGCTCAAATAGTGTTCTTATATCTCTCTTTTGTCAGTTTTAATTTAGCCTCCCTCTCATCATAGGTTACAGTTTCCAATATCATGTTGAAATTTTGGCTGATGCTTCATCTGGTTAATACTAATATCTCTTTATGGAGGTTTTTTTTTTTTTTTTAAATATTTATTTATTTTTTTTTGTTGTATTCCTGTCACAAGGATGTTGTCCAGGCTTACCACCTGGTTAAACCTCATTTCACAGTTTGAGTTGGTTGGCTAAAATTTCTTCATCATTTATTTTTGATCTCTGTAACATTTTATCTTGTATGAAAAACATTTTTCTTATTTTCTTTCTCCTCTTTATTCTTTTCAGGTGGCGTGGTTGTATTTGCTGTCAACTCTCTATTGTACCTGAATCAAAGTGTGCCCCCTTACGGCGTCTCATTAAATAGTATATCGCAGAGCTGTACAGCGTTCCCCCTCAGTAAGTTTTCCTTCTTGACCACTTTCTTACATTGTTTATTTTCTATCAGTGGCATTCTTTTGAAATGGATGTATTTCAAGGCGTACTTGAAAAATATTTCAGTACTTTTTCGTTGCCTGTAGGCCGCTCCTATTCATTATCTGTAAGGTCTTGTTATCCGTAATTAGGCAGTCCTGGGTATGATGATAAACTACATCCAGCAGCAATACATTTTATAGTAAAATGTCCAACAATTTGTTTTATCCATATTTAAAAGCATACAATTATGTTCAAAGTATATCTTTTCTTTCTGATAATTTACTGTTCTTTTTCATTTTCAGAACCTCAAGATGGCGTTCGTATTAGTTTGGATTGTTGTCAGGCGGCATTAATTACTTTTGATAAATTGGTTTTGTCACTGAAAGGCGGAGAACTGTGAGTACTTGGCAGTTATTTACATTCTTTACAGTCAAACTAATATCTTCATATTTGTCATTGCTATAAATTGACCTCTGGTCTTTTTCATCTTGATCTGGTTTGAACCCATTATTTAATCAATTAAAAAATAAATAAATAAATAAATAAATGAAAAGGGCTTCCAAAAGCTCTAAAAAAAAAAAAAATATATATATATATATATATATATATATATATATATATATATATATTTTTTTTTATATTTTTTTTTTTTTTAGAGCTTTTGGGAAGCCCTTTTTCATTTATTTATTTATTTATTTTTAAATCTAAAATTAGAATTTTTGAAAGAACTTATGTGACCAAAGAGCAAAAAAGCTGATCTCATCTATACACAAACAATAATTTTTATCATTAAAATTTTTAACAAGTTTATGTGAAAATTTTTTCCTTCTTTCTTTTCAGTTATGTCTTAACATTAGTTGTGGATGGGATGAGAAGCGTGAAGAGTTTCCATTTTGATAAAGCTGCTTCCAGTGTTCTCACCACATGTGTAAGTTTCATTATATCCTGGTAATAACTCTGGTTAATCACCTCTCATCATAGGGTTTACTTTCAGATAAGCAATATGGCTTTTACTTCTGTAGCTCAACTGTTGATGTGTTAACGATTATTGCCAAAAGAATCTATCAAGCTTTTGTTAAGAATAGTGAAGCTGAGGATGTTGCTTTGAATATCTCGAAGACATTTGACAGGTTTGGGCGTACCAGTCTGCTTGACAAGTTGAAAAGTTATGGTATTTCTGGACAAAGTTTTGATCTGATTCAATCTTTCTTATGAAATCGTGAAATGAAAGTTGTCTTGAATGTCCACACTTCTAGATCTTTTTGCATTAATGCAGGGTGTTCCCCAGGCTTCTATCCTTGCCCCTACGTTATTCCTGATTTTCATCAATGACCTTCCTAATCACCCCATCTCAGAGCCCTTTTTGCATTCCATTAGCATGGCTGATGCTAAACTCGAGGAGAGTGACACATTGTGCTTTCTTGGACTAACATTTTCTGCTGACATGAAATGGAAAGATTCTTTTGAATTGATTTCTAGGTCTGCTCCTGTGAAAGTTGGTTTACCTTGTACTAGACAATTCTTCTCACCAGAATCTTAGATATTTATAAGTCTGCTATTCCTTGTGTTGAATATTGCTGCCATATTTGGTCTGGTGCTCCTCCTATATATTTAAAGATTCTTGATAAAATACAAAGAAGAATCTGCAATGTTATTGGTTCTGATCTGGCATCTTGGCTTCAGTCACTTTTCCCACCACTGTAACATTTTCTTTTCTATAAATACTTGGTAATTGTTCTAATGAACTTTCCTCTATGGTACCTAAACTTTATGAATTTAAGCCCATTACTGGATTGGCGGCAAGGTCTCATGAATTTACAGTTGAAATGGCTAGATGGAACCGTAAGTTCTATGCTAATAGCTTCTTCTCTTGTACTTCTCATTTGTGGAACTCCCTTCTTGCTTCCCAATCAACTTTGATCTTCAAAAATTTAAAGTATTTTTTTATCTTTCATATTCTCTAACACTCAGTTAGTTACCCACCTTGTGTCTTAGTGGCTTTATTGCCTTGCTTAGGGTGAAATGATTTAGAAAAAATTGACAAGTGGAAAAATGAAACTGCAGAGAATGGCTGCACATTATATACAATATAGGCCAAAAATTTGGGATCAGCCTCTGGATTTAATAATTAGTAAATTCCATACCTTCTTTGGATTAATGAACTCCTGCTGAGTGAGGATACTTAAATTATTTCACCCATTAGTGCATGGTGTCCAATTTTTTTTCGAGAGGGCGTTACCTAAAACTTAAAATCTGCCAGTCATTAGCCAGCAAGGCAGGTTAGGCAAAAAGAGCAAAAAATTTTAAGTAGACTTTGTGATAATTCATTATTATTAATGGCTCGAAGTGAGCTTGTAAAGTAGTTTTGAAAAAGGCATGCAACTTTCTTTGGCCTATAAAATCACAACACAAGGAAAAATACCAGCAATAAATTTTTATAAAAAAATACCAACAATACAATTTTGTAGTGAAATTACCAGCAGTACATTTAAAAAAAAAAAAATAACCAATACATTTTTATAGTAAAATTGAAGGCATGGCCTGTATTGTCAATAAAGAAAAATAATCAATTTGCAACACTTAATTTCATTTCTTGTAAGTTTTTGCTCCTCGTTTGATTTTGTAAGATTATTTGGTAAAAAAAAAATCGGCTAAGTAATTAAGATTTAATCATGAAGTAATTATAGTTTGAATTTTCTTATTTAGATTTCAGCCTTAAATAACCCATCCTGATTGATATGCCGCTAAACGAAACCAATAACCTGCTGAATAAGCAAACTCTGTTACTAGATTGTAACGCAAAAATGTCCAAGAGACTTATAGAGGAAAGTGTGTTTGAATGCCAACAGATTGTAGTCAAACTTTTTGAATTGTTTATTTTTTTTCTGGTTGATTGCAGATAAGTTAAACTGTAGATAAGGGGAGACAACTGTTTTTTTTTTTGTTTTTTTTTTTCTGACATTTTTTTCCTGAATAATTGAAGTTTTCTTTTTCAAACCATTGGTTTATGGTATTTTTAAAAAATCTTTTCAGATGTGCCAGTGTGAAGAAGGGTATTTATTTTTAGGATCCAGACTTGGCAATTCCCTTCTATTAAAATACACTGAAAAAATGCTAGAAGCTTCTGTCCCCAAGATTGACATTGACGGCAAGAAGGTAAGTTGATTTTGGCAAGAGAGAACGCTTTTTACAATCTCTGATAAATCGGTAGGCAGGATGGATTGAAAATAAAATGGTCTCTCATTTGATTTTAGCTTACATACCATATATACACTTTGAAGTTTGTCTTGATTTCGATGATGCTCTACTCATTTGGCCCTTGAGACCAGCCTGACGTTATTTACTCGCCTCCTAAGTTTTTTTGATATGGGGGCTGTCTTCGATCAGTTCAAAAATTGCCCATCTTCTGGCCATATCATGTTGAAACACCAGTTGTCGTTGTTACGCCCGGAGTTTTGTTGGGACTACGATAGCTGGGACGCAACAAGAAAATAAAAAAAATAAGAGATCCCAAGGTTCAATGCAAAAACAAAGAACAAAGAAAAGAACAGTGGGAGGGGAATTCTCCAAGTCCAGACACCGGTAAATGCAGTAAGAATTAAACAATGTGCAGACACAGAGCGACAGGAGACAATACGAGAATATATAATACAAACAGTTTATTTACAAATATACAAGGTGTGAAAGTAAGACAAGAAAAAAAAAAAAACTTAATGACACAAGGGATGGGGAGATATATAATTAGGCAAATACTACTAAGGAATATAGAGAAAGCAGACAATAAGATATATAAAAGCATGCAACACTTACAGGAGATGGAGATCGACAGGTTTTTATCAATAACACAGTTTAATGAAGAGGATGTTAATACACTCTTTTGTTTTTCTTTTGAACATAAAAGGGAGGGATTATCAATGTTCTAGTATACACATGTGAATCATAAAAGCGTAGCCGACTTGGGCGATGTTGTTCTTAATTCTTTGGTCAGCAAACAGCGAAATCTGATTTTGGTGACGTCCACTCCTACGAGCAGCAAACAGCTAAGACTGGTACTTGTTGACGTCCGCTTTTTCTGAGGGCAAGCAACTGAGTGAAGAATCATTACCCCGACACGCGCGAAACAAAACTGTCACATGTCGGCCTACGAAAAAATGAGTGGGCGTCATTCATGGAACATTGTTAAGGTCATCCGCACTTAACCGTCAAACAGCATTCGTCTGGCCAACGATCAGAGACCAGACAGGAAAGGAGAGGTTCTCTACTGAGAACTGGCTATGAATTAACTGGTAATAAAAAAAATATATCTTACAATCTGCGTTTTCATGGAAATAAAAATATTATTAATATTCCTATGTTTTGTCGCAAACACAATTGTACTTAAAACATGTTTGTAAAATTTGGCGTGAGGGTACAAATATGGGCTAACGTAACACTGTGCAGTAATCAAATTTAAGCAACGCCAAGCCTAGTCAGTACCTAGATGGATAACTACTTGAAAATACCAGGTGATCTAAGCTTGGCTGTCTGGATGGTGTAATGGATAATGGCATCGTTAATCGGAAAACCAAGTTCCACTTTCCGGTGGATTTGTTATATTCACTTCTGCGCAAATACCCTTGGGAAAAGGCATGAATCCACCTCTTCTAATGCCCCCCCCCCAGCTGTAGGTTAATTCATAATACTTGTATCACTAAAATCATTAACTCAAAAAAAAATTCTTGTAATTTAAAAATATTTTCTGGATTTAAATAACCTGTAAGGGGTTGATAAGCCTCAGAGAATGAATCAATCAATATTTGCTCAGTCTCTGTAATCGATATACCACTTTTAGTGCAATGTAGGAGGTACTGCAACAGGGTTAGAATCCCTGGGATCAGGCATCTCTCCATTATTAATAATAATGAGAACAGATACCATGCTATGATCCTGGCCCATAAAGGCTGAGACTGGCCTGAATGTTGCAATAAAAAACAATTACCGCATCTACTCGTATAACGCACAATCTTGTGTATCGTGCAGCCCCCAAATTTTCACTTATAAAAAATGGTTTTCTCGTGTATCATGCATATTCCTTTTTTGAAAGATCAAATTACAATAGGCTAACCTCTTCTAGTGAAATAAGTCAAAGAGAATAATAAAAGTTTTGTTAGTAATGCTATATTCATTGTGTAAACATGTACAGCCATAAACAACTTATTTTTATACTGATCTTTTCCAGTTGTCGAAGAAGTTTTTTTTATGTCAAGATAAAATTCATCATGGAGGGTGTTGTTTATTTTTTTATTTTTTTTTTAACCTAAGTATTTTTGACCTTTTCTAAGATCATCATCTACTCGCTGTGTTATACTCATTATAAATCTTCTGCCAAGTTAGTCATGAATCAAAAGAGGCATGATTACTAAAGTGTATATCACATACGCCACTTAATTGACTGAGCAAAAAACCCTTCCAAAAAGAATTCTCATGTTTCATAATTTGGTTATATTTAGGGAAATAGTTTGGGCTGAGAACTTTATAATATCACTTGTATATTGCATTCATGTCTCAGATGATATGGAAATCAGTGTGTAATATCTTATGTGTCCCATTTTGTTTACAGCATGTGTATTAAGTTCACAACAGACATGTTTCTAAAAGTCATGCGGATGCATTAAGAATCTGTGTTTTTTTGGCATTTTTCTGGTGTTCATCTGAACCTGCTTCAAGCCTCTTGATTTTACAAAAAAAAATTTTTTTTACTACTTTTAGTCTAGATATCTGTGAGTGCAGTAGAAATTATTACAAAGCTGTAATTTGCTTAAATTCTCTTTCACAGTCTGAACCACCATTGAAAAAGAAGAAGATCGACAGCTCTGAAGTGATGGGTAAGTTTAATCATTCATAATGTGGGGTCTGCAACCACACTCATTCTGATAACAATTATCCTATTTTTGCATGTTTGTGTATTTATTACAAAAGCTGAAAAGAAAATCAACATTGAAAGAGGGAAAGAAATAAAAAGATTTTTAACAGTGTGGGGTCTGCGTCTACACTTATAACCCCATCTCTTCTTGTACACATCTCCTAGGCTCCATTGGTCTAGCTGCTCCGTTCAGACCCTGCTTGTTCCGATATCTCAATCTTTGCATGGCTATGGGATAAGGAGAGTTATACAGCTTCCAAACTGGTTTAGGGATTGGTGCCATTATAAGTCATCGATCGTCCAGTCTTGGTTCTTTAAGTGTTGTGATTCTTACTGGCAAAGAAAGTTGTCTTTTTTTAGTCAATAAGCTGTGGTAAATTTCTTGTTTCTGACTGGAAATAAAGTCACTCTTGCTAAAGAAATAATAATGCCAGTTTTGGTTAAATATAGATGATTTAATAAAGGTAAATAAAATAATTTACAATTGAATATATTTGGCATCTATTAACAATAAAAGATCAGAAGGTGGCAACTTGGAATCTTGATATGTGTTCAGTAAGGTTCAATCAGAAATTCAAGTGAATACTGGACCCCTTTCCTTGTATGTGTGTGCATCTATATGTGTGTCTGATGACTCATCTCTGTCGTTCTGGCCTGTCTCTGCTGTATCCTCAAAATCGAGCCTGATTTATACATAATTCTCTGCCTACAATATCAAACTGTTTACACGCTAAAAGAATTATTTATAAAAACACAACCAGCCTATTTTAATTTATTTGGCACTGCTGTGTAACTGCAAAGGGTCTCTGAGTGCCTTCCCAAAATTGATTATTCTTTGATAATACATGTGACTACAAAATATCCCTTATCCCTAAGTGAGGCTTGTTGGTTTCTGAGAGAAGCTTGGTAACCATTATGTTATGTGGGGTGTCCTAGTAAGTTTTTAGTATGTATAAGATCCATATGTTGGTGTACCGATTTATATGATTATTTTATTCACTTCTGTATGTTTTTATTTTCAGCGTCTGATGTGTCTCAAATTGATGATCTTGATGAGTTAGAAGTTTATGGCGAAGGGGATATCATGAGTGGCACGACCATTACTTCATTCACATTTGAGGTAGGAAACATTTCCTAGAATATCCAGCCCATAGCTGCACAAATAAAGTTCACCTGTAATCCTGCTGTCATATTATTTTTATAGAATCTTACTTATTATAAAACGCAGATTGTGTGTGTGTGTGTGTGTGTGTCTGTAATGTTTATATATTGGATCGGATTTCCTACATTTTTCAACCGATTTCAACAAAACTTCACAGGACTACATAAAATTACCTTGTGGTGGTTCTAACAGTGCCAAAAATGGGGAAAAATATAATTGTTTTTGCACAAAATCAATTTGAAAACACGGTTAAGAGACATTGTGAAAATGGAAGGGGAACAACTCACATCGGGTTGTTTGTGTGTGTGTGGGTACCTTTAAATATGGGAACGGATTTCCTATATTTTTCAGCTGATAAAACAAAACTTCACTTTTTTTTTTTTTTTTTTTGGCAGGTAGTGTTTCTTATTGTCTTGCACACTTTTTTCTTTATTTTTAACATTCAGAATGCTTTAAAAATTCCATTTACAAGACAATTATTTATAATAAAATTCTATTCAATCGGGAGACTCATAACGATTGAAAATGTTTTTTTTGAGTTTAGGCTTGTCCAATTCGTAAAAAAAAAAAAAACTAATTAAGGCATGCGTGTCCGTCAACCTTAAACAATAATCTAACGATCTCTACTGATTGTACGAATACAAACATCGGATAAATTCTTTATCTTTAGGGAAAGATAATGAAATCTAAACATACACAAGTTCTAACTAAAAATAATAACCGGAAACTACTTTAAATACACATGGTGTCCAATTGTTTTCACTGTATTCAATAAGTAAAAATCATAAATTTTAAAACTAAAAGATTACAGAAAGGCTACCTACACTTTTCAACCGATTTCAACAAAACTTCACTTTTTTTTTTTTTGGCATGTAGTGTTTCTTATTGTCTTGCACACTTTTTTCTTTATTTTTACATTCAGAATGCTTTGAAAATTCCATTTACAAGACAATTGTTTATAATAAAATTCTATTCAATCGGTAGACTCATAACGATTGAAAACAATGTTTTTTTTGTTTGGGTTTGACCAATTTGTAAAAAAAAACTAAAAAAAAAACAAACTGATGCGTGTACGTCAACCTTAAACAATAATCTTTGTCAATTTTATTTTTCAATTTTTATGATGGTGGATACTTGATCTATCTCTTACAGGCAACGCTGGGCTCTACTGCTAGTAATTATTAAAATTAATTTATTAAAAATTCTTTCGCTCTAAGAGTAGATCAGATTTATGCGGCCGAAGAGAAAATATAATGATCAGACCAACCCATTGTTTGTGATGAAAGACATGACTTACCTCAAAGTTCAAAACGGGTGCGAACGTTTCTTGTCTGTAAAGTAACAAGGAAAAGAAATATGGCTGCTATCGAAGACACAATTTATGCGTACCGATCTCATCCGAAATGAGACGATATTCGCACACATGCAAATTTCTACTGTGTCAAACAGGCATAAAAAGCGAGATGCCAGTAGCATGACTCAAGGGGGTTTCGGTCATTCAGCGGACTCTGTGCAATAGTTGGATGTGCGAATTGACTGACGGACAAAGAAGTCGTCGATGTAGGTGCGGCTGAGTTTTGTGTCTGTTTCATGACTGCCTGGTGTAACGGCCAAGAAAGGGAGTCTCGCAATCCATTTCCTTGAGGCGACCGATGACAAAGGAAGAACAGTTGGTCTGCCGGCGAACGGCGCACTGCACTTTCTGACCAGCCCCCCCCCCCAATCACTTGCTTGTTTTTGTTTACTACATTGTTGTCAATTCTCATAATATTATTTCTGACACAGGTGATTTTATCTTTTTTATGCACAGTTGCTCTCCCATCCTTTTCTTGTTTGATTCCTTGGCATGGGGAAATGATTCCTAAGTAGTGAATTTGATCCTCATTAGGTGCACCATACGAAAAAACATTATTAAATAAACCAATGTGTTAATATGACATAAATTCAACCCACCTAACTCTGGATAGATTGATGGTTAGTGGAGCTAGTATGGTTAATTGTTAATACTGAGTAGTGACTTTGATCCTCACAAGGTGTCCCATACAAAATTTGACATTTTAAAACCCAACAAGGGTTATCATGACATAAAATCAATCAATCAATCAACCAATTTTTTCTTACTCAGAATAGAAACAACACTGGTCTGACTTAATTTTCCACTGGGCTCGTCTAAATGGCTTTCATTTCTTCACCCTTCAATGATGCTCTATTATTTGAATCTCACCCCCATAGGTAATAAGATAATCCCTTCTTCCAAAGTTGATATACCAGATTTTTCCAAGTTGATTTTGGATATGGCCTTACAATAGTTCTAAATTTTGACGCTCTGTTGAATATGAACAGATATTGCTGTCACATCTGGTTTGGTGCTCCAGTTTTAGTTTTAGAGATTCTTGACAAAATTCAAAGAATCTGCACTGTTAGCAGTCCTGACCTGGCATCTCAACTTCAGTCATTTTCCTATCACTATAACATAGCTTCCCTGTGCCTTTTTAAATATTTTCACTGTAATTTTTCTGATGAGCTTTCCTCTTTGGTACCTCAAATTCATGAGTTTAAGCATGGTACTAAATTGGCAGCTAGGTTTCATAATTTCGCTGTTGAAATTGTTAGTTGTAACTAAGTTCTGTATTAAGTTTTTTCTCCTACACTTTTCACTTGCAGGACTCTCTTCCAGCTTCTTTTCCTATCAAATGAGATCTTAAAAAATTTAAATGCAATGTAAATTGTTGCATTCTGTTTCCTTGAGTCCTGTTTTTTATTGTCCTCTCTGTTTATTTCACTCTCAGTAACCCCTTGTATCATAGTGGCTTTTATCGCCTTACTTGTGTGAAATAAAATAAAAAAAAAAAAAAAAAGAAGCAAAATCCTTAAAATAGATTGGCCAAAATTTAGGGGTAATAATGAAATTAGTAACTATAATCATTTTTTTCTCAATTATGAGAATTTTTCTTTTAAAAATGATATAGTGTGTCATTAAATATTTTCTGTAATCTTTTTGTTTTTTCGTTTTGTATTTTGACATTTAGGTTTGTGACAGTATTCTCAACATTGGACCCTGTGGCAGAATGGTAATGGGAGAGCCAGCGTTTTTATCAGAAGAATTTTGTAACACTGTGGATCCTGACCTAGAGTTAGTTACAACGTCCGGTTACAGCAAGAATGGCGCTCTCTCAGTTTTACAAGTAAGTTTTAAAGAAAATTGCATTGAATTGGTTTCTCTATGAAAATGGTAAAGTTCTAAATGAAATAAGGTTTATTTTGCCATAAAGAAAAAGAACTTCTCGGAAAGTATAAATGTTTTTGTTCCTGTAATTCCTACCAATTGTCCTGGGTATGACAACTACATCCAGCAGCATGACTTTTGGTTGGGAGGTTTTGAGAAACATGGAACCACCTTTTAATTGCTGCTGTTCTCAGTTCCACCCTGACCTGTAGTGGTAGCATCTGTTAGGGTCCCAGCTGTGGGCAAATACTGAACCCTCAAACTGGGGTCAAAAAAATGAAAGTATAGATTTTAAAAGAAAAGAAGAATTACCAGCAACAGATTTTTGTTTAAAAGAAAAAAATTATTCAAGCTCTCAAGAAAATTAAATTTTGGCATTAAATGACCCATAATGTGTTGATATGCCATTAAAAAAAAAAAATTCCTGCCAAAAAAGAAAGATGACAGTGAACTAGATGTGCCTTCTTTTAGGAACTTGTTGGAAAGCTTTTAATACATTTTACAAATTTACTTGAAAAATAATTATTACTTTTTGTCTAATTTCTTTATCTTTCTGCAAACTTGTTGCCAAAGTGTTTTGATTAGGAATGGAAGGATTTATGTTGAGTGGGCCATGAGTAAGAATTTGTACATTAAATTTAGTTCACGTCATTTTCAAAAGGGCAGGGCAAATGATTTTCTGGGTAGGTTGGGCCCAACCACCACAGTGACGGGCCTGGCTTTCTGCCATAATGTAATAAGCCAACCCCCTCCATGAAAAAAAAAACACAGAAAAACTACACCATAAAAGTCAAGATTCATCAATAATAATAAATTCACTTTGATTTAAAATTTTACAAAACTATTGGGTTGGACAAAATGTTTGTTCTGTTTTTGTCGTGGGATTCTATTAGGAGTATTTAGTTTTAACTTAATTCAAGAATATCAGGCTTACAGCCATATTGCATTGAAACATCTGTTCCTGAAGAATCACTGAAGTTAAGCAATGTTGAGCTGGGTCAGTACCTAGATGGGTGACCATTTGGGAATACCACATGCTATAACATTGGATGTGCAGGTGGTGTAATGGTTAATGGCTCAGAATTGTTAATTGGAATGTCGAGTTCCAATTCCCATTGGGTTCGTTATATTCACTTATGCGCAAATACATTTGGGAAAGATACGAATCCGCCTCTTCTCTTCTCCATCTATTGGTTAATTAGTGAGATTTACCTGACTAAAACATTATTATTTCCCAAAATCTTACAATGTAAAATATTTTCTGGTTTTAAATAAGCTGCAAAGAGATCAGCCCTAGGATACAATTAAAAAAAAAAAAAAAAATTTCAATCATATTGCAATAGACTTTCAAAAGAAGTTTTGAAATTGTCATATTGAGTTTAGCTTTGAAGAAAATAACATTTTTGGCATATTGTGCTTTTTATTTTAAGAAAGGTAAAATGCCACTCCAACAAAATGATTTGTGCGGTTTATTTCATACAAATACCCTTCAGAAGGGTATGAATCTGTCTCTTCTCTCTCCACATATGGATTAAACAGCAGAGTAAACTGGGTGGCAACTAGTCTAAGAGAAGGAAAACTGAATTACAAACTTAAGAAAAGAGAACGGGGAACCACTCCTGTCTTTCCCAAGAATGCATGGCAGTTCATAAATAATAAAGAAAAATCTGTTGAGAGTCATGATCACTGACATCTTCAAGGCACATGGCATTATTTAAAAAAAAAAAAAAAAAAAAAGGAACTGAATGAGTAAATGTTTCAAAAGCGGTTTGTGAATGAATTTTCATGCTTGAGATTTTTCACTGACTGACCAGGGCTGAGTCGACCAAATGATGTTGGTAACGGTTAAATCAAGACATGAAAATAGGAATTTTTTTTTTAAAAAAAAAAAGGGGGGTTTTTTAAAAAAAGGGAAAACCGGGTTTTTCCCAAAAAAAAAAACCAAAAAAAAAAAAAAAAAAAAAAAAAAAAAAAAAAAAAAAAGGGGGTTTTTTTCCCCCCAAAAAAAAGAAAAAAAAGGGGGAAAAAAAAAAAAAACCCTTTTTTAAAAATTAAAAATTTATTTTTCCAAAGGGGGGAAAAAAAAAAAAAATTTAAAGGGAAAATTTAAAAAAAAAATTTAAAAAAATTTTTTAAAACAAAAAAAAAATTTTTTAAAAAAAAGGGGAAAAAATTTTTTTCCCCGGTTTTTTTTGGGGTTAATTTTTGGGGAAACCTTAATTTTTTAACAACTTTTTTAAAAAAAAAAAGGGGGTTTTTTCCCCCCCCCCCTTTTGGGAGAAAAAAAAAAATTTTGGGGGCCCCTTCCCAAGTTTTTTTTAAAAAATTTTCCGCCCTTTGGGGGTTTTTTTAAATTTTTGGCTTTTAAACCAAAAAATTTTTTTTTTTGGGGGGAAAAAAATTTTTTTTTCCCCCCCCCGGGGAAAGGGGAAAGAAGGGGGAAACCC